CTCTAAACAGTTTTTTTAATCTTCGAGATAAGGTTTTCTTCGAATATTTCAAGGCTGAAAGTCTGATTAGCAGTTGGGCATAAACTGACCTAAAATGCCTTAACTGATCAAAAACTGACAAGGCATTGGGCAGTTTAGCAAATAATGTTTAAAATAGACTTAAAATAAAATACGTCTTAACAGCTTCTGAAAATCTAATTAACTAAACAAAAATTTTTTAAAATATTTACAGAGGAAAAAACGCGAATCGATGAAATTATTCAATTATTGAATACAATTCAAAGTAACACCTTTTTAATTTTTAAAAATCATTTTTTTATGTATACAGTGTTCCAGACTTACATCCGTTAGTGACAGATTCTTGAGATCATTTTGAGACGAAAAGCCTCCCAAAATATTGAGTTTTTAAATGGAAGAATGTAAACGTGACTAATCAAAATATTCGAAATTCGCACGCTTAGACATGGGATAATAATTAAGATGTATGCAAAATAATTTAAAATAAAAAATAAATCCATGTATGTGTTTGAGAACACCTTTATTGTTGTGCAATATGTTATAATATCTGATCAAGCGAATTTCGGACAATCTGATTAGTCAATTTTAAACTTTTCTTATATATTTAAAAACTATATTGTAACTTCGATCTTTTGATACTAGGATTTTTATCTTGAAATAATTTCAGGAATCCATCATTAAGTGTCACAATTAAGATCTAAACGCTGACTTATAATCTTAATACAAGTTTTATGACTTAAGTCTTTGTTTTTTGTAACGCACAATAGTTGTCTTATGTCTTAAATCTTAAATTGTAAAGCTGTTCTGTTGTGAATCGTAAGAACTGCTATATGTAACAAATTAGTATTACGAACATCATTATTTTAATACATCCAATAAAGATATATAGCGTCATATACAATAAGAAATAACATTAACGTTAATTTAATATTAATTATGTACTTGTTAATTCACCTAATCCAGTCTAACTATATCTCTTTTCCAAACATAATAAGATAATAATTATATTTTTTGTTTTTATAATCAGCATTAGTCTATACTCTATAAATTGACAAGACATTAAAAATATCTTAATTAATATAAACATTTATTATTGTGTAAGCTATACATTTGTTATATACATATATGTATAAAACAAAATTATTATATATACTATAATATAATACTTTTTAATTATACAATTAATTACTATTACACTTATTTTAATTATAAAAAATAACTGTTACCTATTTTTAAAAGTGTTAAGATCAAGTTAGATTGGGTGAATTATCAAATAAATAATATATATTAATTAATTTTAACGTTATTTATTATTACATGACGTTATGTACTTTTTTGTATGTATTAAAATAATATTGTAATACCAATTTGTTATTATAATATATGTAGCAGTTCTTATGATTCTCAACAGAATAGTTTTACAGTTTGAGACTTGAGACATAAGACAATTATGTGCGTTACAAAAGACATGACTTAAGTCATAAAACTTGTAGATTATAAATTAAACTTAAGATTATAAATCAGCTATTCTGTTTAGGTCCTAAGTTTGAAATGCTCAGTATAATTTCTAAATTTTGACGTATAATATGCCTAATGCCCTGACAGTTCCTGTCAAAAACTAATCAAATCTAGTCAGTTTCTGTCCAAAAACTTCCTAGACTTAGTCCAGAACTGACCAGATACTAATTAATAAAACTATCTAGTTCTCTCAGAGGCCAGTCGTAAAATTTATGGCCGTAACCACATTTGCTTTCCCTGCCAGGGCCTGTCTAGACATCGGAAAAAACTGTTAAGGACCCTGTCATTTCCCTGCTTTGATTTCTAGTCGAGTACATATCACAAAATAATAAATTCATCATAAATACCTTAAAAATTAAATTTTATGTTTCAGTTCATAACATCTGTTACAACAGTCGTAGTTATAATAATACAAGCGCATACAGATATATAAACAATTTTTTAGAAATATGTTTAACGCAGTGCGAATGTTAAATAAGCACCAAAAACATGTAATAAATATAATCTTTCCTAAATATATAATTTTGGCTACACTTTTAACAAGTACGTACTATAAACTAATAACTTTAATTAAATTAATTTATTTCAATATCAAGAGTTTTCCCCGTTTTTTTATTTTAAAATTAATAATTGTCATCTTTTTCCAAAAAGTGCAACAAAATAAAAAACTAAAATTATCTATTATACTTTATGTTAATTTTGTTTTACTAAATTTCTCTTTCATTTATTATTCTTATAAAAGTTATTTTTTAAAAGTAATTTTTTGTATTTTAACGAATAGTATTTTCATTTGGATGTAAAAAGCAAAAATTTGTAATACTCGTTTATATGCCTATCCCATTTAATATATAATAACTTAATGCTTTTTAAGTAACTCCAATTGATATTAATATCGTATACCGTCTTCTGCACTTTGGTAATATTTTCAGATATAAGTATATTATATACATATATCTGTATTATATGTATCATCAAACAACATCAGAATAAAAGATGTTTTTAAATAATATTTATATTTCGGTTATAAAAATGTATTTGTTTTGAGTAAAAATAAAAGACATCCATCATCTGTTCAGTTTTAATAAATAGTGATGCATAACTTGGACTATGTAATCGTTTACTTTAATATCCGTAAGTGCCTAATTATAAAGATCGGTTATCGTTATCACTCAGAACCTACAACTTATGCAAGCAACTGGACAATAAAAATACAGTTTGGAGGAGAAATCGCGTGAGCAATGACCAAAAGTATTAGAACAATTTTAAAGCCACTTCTAATGATTAGTTATGTGTTTGGCTTGAGGATTGCCAATTTATCTAATTATTTAAGGCTATGGTTTAGTGCCTTATATATGCTACTAATTTGGTTAATTTATTATTTCTTTTCGACATTTGCATTAATATCGTATTTTAATAATAAGCTTAGTGACATTGAGAACGACATTTGCTATTGGCTAGAAGTCTTCACGACTTCATGGTCAATAATATTTAGTGTATATCATGATAAGGTAAGGACTTGTTAATGTATATATAGTTATCTAATAATAAGTAATTAATAATGTCGTAAGTATAGTTGTTAATAATAAGCAATTTCATATACGATTACAACAGACAAAAACATACAAAGTTTATTATTCATACAGTTAACACTAAATTATAAAATAATAAAATAAAAATGATTAAAATAGTAATAAAAACTGCTACGTAAACACAAAATTATGCATATATTGACACAGCATGTACTGATAAATTCCCTTTTGTCTAAATATACTAAAAGAATTAATTCAAATGGTGTAAAAATATGTGTATAAAAATAACAGAATAAAAAAATTTTCTAAATCTTTGTTGAAATATATAACATGTATTTTTAAATAAGTTCAATAACATCGTTACATTTTCGGATAAATAATAATTATTTGTATAATATTTTAAATCTGTATGTATCTATCTTTTTAACAGAAATTTCAAAATTGTCTGAAAAAGCTCGATATTGTGGACAATACCTTACTTAAATTAGGGATGATGACAGATTATGACAAACTATGTAAAAAAACAGTATGGTTCGTCTTAGGATGGTTCGTGATAGTTATATTAACCAATTGTGGTACAGCATTCTATGTAAAAAATGAACGTAACTGTAATATTGCTACGGCCATGTTTTATATTTTTATGCGAAACTACTGCTTTCATATTAATTTCATCGGTGATTTAACTACTGCTAGTATTCTCGAGTTGGTACTTTTTTATATTTACTATTACTTTCTACTTTATAGTGTAGTCATTTGCATAAATTACTAAAATTAAATTATAAATTTATGATTTCTAAAATATTTTTAAAAACATTAATAAAACATAACTGCTGTTTGTAAAAAAAACATTTTTCATTTACTTCTTTTTATTACACTTCTTTTTAGATACACAGGATTAAAATTTGATCAAGTTAATGCATATCTTCAAAACTTGATGAAAAATAACAAACACGAAATAACACAGACTTCCGAAAATCCTATGATATATCTTCATCAACGCAGATTTTCAAAATCACTAAGCAACAAATCCGTAATATGGATCATCTTGTAAGAAAATTTACATAAATATTAACAGCGGTAATATTAATTTTAAAAAATTTAATATTTGTAAACAGTAGTACAGAATATAAATCTTAATATATTTATATGTGTATGTCCAGACATCTTCACTTAGAGTTACGCAAAATATCCTATGAAATAGATTCAATATTTGGAATACAAATGACTATTAAAATGGCATGTTATTTTGGTTGGATAACAATTAACTTACGTGAAATTCTCTACGCAATTCTGAGCAACAATTATGTAAAATTTAGGATAATGTCGATCATCATGCATTTATTCTGGTTGTTTCATAATGTTTTCAAATTCCTGCTTATTAATTATATGTGTGAAATAGTCACCACCAAGGTATTTATATTATATTTAATTTCAAAAAATTATATCTAGTTTAATGATATCTTGTATATAAAGCGACATAAAATATAGCGATATAGAATATTAAAAAATATTTAATTTTAAAATTACATTAAAAGTTTATTTTATTACATTTGACATATTATATATAATTTCAGGCAAGTACTACAGCAGATTTATTAAACAGATTGTCATATTTTCCTTGTGATGTTGAAATTCGTGAAATCGTAAGTTTTAAAATAAGTTTATTAGAATATTATTAAAGTAAATATAAAAATTCAATACCTTAAAAGTAATACTTTAAAAATAATACATTTTGTTAATATAGATTTCACAATTTTCATTACAAATAGTTTATGCACCACTAAAATTCTGCGGAATCGGATTTTTTCAATTTGGCTTTAAATTTCTTCGCAGGGTACGTTACACTTATTATATAATTACAAATAATTAAGTTCTTTACAAAAATTTAAAAAAGGAACTTATACATTGTCTTCATTTTTAGTTTGTTACGTCTATTGCGACTGTTTTAGTTATAATAATACAAGCGCACGCAAATAAATAAAAATGTTTGTCAAATTATGACACAATTAAAAAAATATATTTTAAAAAATAACGTGTATTTTATAAAATATATTATACTACTTAGAATATAATTTAATAAAATAAGAGATAGAAATAATTAATAACTAATCAATAACGTTTTATGTAATAAAAGATAAATAATAATTATTATTTATTATGCTTTTATATCAATTTTATCTGTTCACAATTCTCTTCGTTATTACAAAATTTAATCTTTATATATAGTCTTTTATGTAATTATTTAAAGGGTTAGGCCACCTTTGAGGCCTTAAAAGATATCTAAATTTGAAATTTTTTATGAGTAAAAAGATAACTTTATTAAAAATCTATTTAGAGAACATTATCGTATATATATAAGAAAGCAAAAAATTTATTTTTTTATTTTTTTATGTGGCGGCGCACTGGTCTACGTCTACTTGCGGAATCCTTTTTTTCTGTACCT